TATACTCGACATTAGGAGCTTGTGTGTAACAGAAAAAATAACCATCTTAGAAATGTGCATGAGGTTTGCAAAAAAAGGATCTAATTGATACTGCAAATATGTGGAAATAGGTTTCGTGTGGTCAGACAAAACAAAATTGGACGCCCTGGTCTAAAAATGGGAAAACTGGTCTAAATGCAAAGCATTACATCTGATGCAAAACCGACATAGTGCATCATTCAGTCACCACCGTCCCTGAATGTGAAAAGTTTTCTAAGGCACTGAACTGTAAACATGTCTATTGCATTTCCCTGCTGAAGGAGAAGGTTTGATGCCTGTTGATAGCGATTGCTCAGAATCATTAATGGTTTTACAGAAACTGCACACTGGGTTACGAACAGTAAGTTTAATGATGGCTCATTTTCACACGTCATGTTTCCTAGTCACTTAGCTCTTGGCATGCAGGCGATATTCCTGTCCCCCTTTTGCTTCATTGCTGCTCTAAGGTGCACAGCCTCTTGCAGCTCCTAACTCAGTCTCTACGCAGAATCAGAATCCATGCCATCTCTCTCTTTGCCAGCAAGATTCTTTCCATTTACTGGTAATGCAAAATTATGCTACTAATTTCAGAATATTTTTCATAGCTGCAGTCCAACATCCGCAGTCACTCAGCTAAGGAAACAAAACGAAGGGTGTATTTGTGTTCACCTTGGAGCGCTTCTCTCAGAGAAACTTGATCATCTGTAGCACCAAAGCAGAGTAAAAACGTACTCTTTTTAAAGTCACACAGCAGCAGGTAGAGTTACAGGCGTGGACCCCTGTGTTCCAGAATCTGTGTCATTAAAAATCCCAGCATGTTTCTCGAAAAGAGTAATGGTGTTACTCCGGTTTCCTGTCGAAATTTCCCATTGGCCTTGACCAACCATGGCCTCCTAATAATCCCCGTCTCTGAACTGGCTTCATCACTCTGCTCTCCTCCACACTGAGAGCTGGTGTGTGGGGAGCGGACTGGTGCATCATCCAGGTGGGGCTGCACACCAATGGTGGTGCTGGAGGGGATCCCCATTACCTGTAAAGCACTTTGAGTGGAGCGTCCAGAAAAGCACTGTATAAGTGTAAGCAATTATTGTTATTCTTGCTTTCCTACCTCACCTGCTGTGTAGTGGCATAATGGATGCTGTGTGCAAATCCCTGTCCTGTATGTTAAGTACTGTACTTATGCAAAAGCAATTCATTATTTTCATGATTTTAACAGTCTCAGCTTAGCTTTGCTGCTTCACAGCATGGGTTTCCTCCCACAGTTCAAAGGCATACTGGTAGGTTAATTGTCTTCTGGGAAAATGGGCCTGTGTCTGTGTGTCTTCCCCGCGATGGACAGGCATCGTGTCCAAGATGTCTCCTGCCTGGCACCCACTGCTTGCCAGGATAGGCTCCGACTCCACCGCAACGCGGTATTGAACAGAGCAGTCAGAAAATGGATAGATGGATAATAGTCTCATTAACATTACACAGGGCATCGTTCAGCTTCAAACAGGAGAGCAAGAAGCTGAGACTTCGCCGGCATGAAAGCCCTTCTTGCTCCGAATGAAATTCAGGGTGTGCCGGCAGCATGTATCTGCAGTATTTATGAATGTGGTTCCAGAGCCTGTATCTGCAAGGACACTGGAGCAGGGACAGTGGTGGGGACCCTTCCAGACTCAGTGTGCCGCCACTTCTCTAGCCTTGCTTGCTTCATCAGGATGCTTCATCCTGTGCATTCGTGAGCCTTTAAAGAAAATACTGACGGCTGGGCCCGGATTTCTTTCATTCTTGCTCTCCATGAATCAAGCCCTGTTATTCCAGTTTGGCGGAAGCAGGTTTTGCCAGAGCCCAGTAATGTGGTGCCACAAAGTGGCAGTACTTCATTGGTTTACTGTATATTCGAGTGCAGTTGCAAGCAATTATTCGGTGCCAGTTTTTCCATTTAGAGGTTAAAACGTTCAGACACGTACAGAATGTTGAAAAAATGCCTTGTATTTACTAGAAATACCTTTTTCTTAAATTTCAGTGGACTTAATGACAAACCCAAACAGATATAATAATGAAAAAAGACTCCCTATTGGAGGCTTTATGTACTGCAGTTATTCTTGGTTTTTCCTTACAAAACCTTCCGATTGAGTTATTTTTTTCTGTCATATGGCTTTGTGCCATAAATTCAGATTATACGTGGAAGTGGTCAGACACATTGCAAATTAAGTTGACTTTAAACCAATCAGAACGAACCACCAAACACCACTGTGATTCTTCTAGAAATTGCCTGGTAAGATCCTCACAGTTGTCCTATTTCCAAAGTTCTTATTTCCTCAGTGCCACATTTTTCTGGAAATATCAGGACTTCTACAAAAAAGTATTCCACTGATTTGCCAAAGAAAAAAAGTTGTAAATCTATAATTATTTTATAATAAAAATAAGTTAGTGAGGCTCACTATTGCTTTCGTTCGTCACTGATATCAGTATCTCATAAGGTAACGTCATCAGTTAACGGGAAAATGTATTTCAAATGAATTTATTTTTTAGGACAACCGTGTGTAACAGTCTGGGAAGTGGACAGCAGAGCATGACAGCTGTGGTCGTGAAGACAGAAAATGCATCCACAGCAAGCGCCCAGCTTGATACCTTCTGTATAAAGGACAAAGGTAAGTGCTGGTGTTTAGTTAAATTCCTGTCGTGAAAGAACACAGTCCTGAGCTGTTTCAGTAGTGGCACCAAAGCTTGTGTTGCAACAATAGCCAACAGTCAGCCTACATAAACCCAGAGTTAAAGTCTTGGCCCTTATCTGAATTTCCTCATATAGTCTCCTTCCTCTAACTCCACTTGTAACTGTTTTTAAACTCCATATACAATACGTGACCGTGTGTATTTACATTATGTGTATTTGCATTTCGATTTATGTGCAAGTGATAGCACATACAGTATACGTTTCTGAAGCTGTAGAATGTTTCCACAAGTTTCTGGCGTTCGACAGGAATATTTCTTGGTGGGTGATCTAGATGATGAATGAGGCAGTGTCTTACATCTCATCGAGATGTTTAATCTTGATTAAGCTGTGTCCTGCTGCAAAAAATCTAAATAGCATGCCTAACTCCGAGAGATCATAGAGACAGAGAACCTCTGTTCTAAAGCCCTCCTTTCAAAAGTCTAAACTGGAAGAGGGTAAGGGTACATACACAGCATGGTTGAAAAAGTTTTGAAGTTTACTATTCCTCACATTTCCCTCGTCAGGGAAATTTGTTACATTCTGAGGTTTATTAGATTTTTTCTCATTAACTGTTATATTATAATACGTCCTATGATATATTGACTAAGATATCCTTATATTAAATACGTGCAGAATCCAGTTTTGATTTTGACTGTGAAGTATTTGCTGGTCTAGGTGGAATGTGATTCATATCATTACCGGACTCATTTTAATTTCTTGGTGCTTCTAAGTTTATAAAGACCAAAACACTTGTTAAAACAGCAGCGAGTAGCTAAGAGCAGCGGTCTGTATTTTTCTCCTCAGTTTTGCAGCACGCGGTCTTTTATATGCTGATATTTGTGTGATTATTTCTTAGTGTTTGTTAGGCATACTCACAGCAATAGCATAAGCAGCTCAACAGACGAATTTCCAAAGCTGCTCTGAAGGAGCTGTCAGAAAACTACAGACACATGAAACCTGTCACACATTACATTACTGACGCCTTTCCTCATTTCAGCTGCTCACCTGCATGTTTTAGATATTTATTTCACCATTACTGTTTTCTGGAGCATTTAAGTAGTCCAGCAGGTATCCCAATGATAAAGATAAAGAAATGAAAATCAGGGAGTTTTGCAAGTCAGAGATCACATAATAGGACAAGGCAGAAAATATTACTGGCTCTTCAATTTCTCTTTCTTAAAGCTGTGTGGACAATGTTGTGATCAGGTGATATAAACAGATGTTTTGACTCTAGTTAAGAATAAATTCACTGTGAAATAGATGACGTCCTGTGATGGGCTTACCTTGATGTAGCCAGTCATCAGAGGAACAGATAGAGAGGACTGTTGAATTCTCTACATGAGTGCCTTGCAATGCCGATAAGCTGTTTTCAGTTTGCTAGTATAAATGAGGTATACTATGAGTTATACTAGTGACGTTTTCTAAACACATGAACAAAGCAATTTTCTTATTCCTATTCTCCTTATCTGCAAGTACTTTTTCTATCTGGCTTGTGCTTCTGGTGATGACTTCTAGAGACAAATCTGTCATCGAGCGCATAAGAACAAAGAGATGTTGTTCTCTCCAAGGAGAACACTAACAGATGGGGAAATGACACTAATACCGAGCTTAGGTGGAACATAGTCTTTCTACCGTGAATAGATGTTGGCTGACAAAGTGTTTAAAAAATCTGTACTTTTAACTCTGTGAAAGGCAGCGGGAGAAAATGAATCCAGCTTTTTCGTAAAGTAATTGAATACTAATACTAGAATGTCCAAAGGAGGTGTATGGTGCCAGTAATCAGGTTTCCCCATGAAAAGCCAGAGGTTCATATATCATGGCTTCATATTCTTTACATTTAACTGACATAAATACAGCACTATTAGCACTATGTGCAAAATTCCTAGGTTCTATTCATAATTCAAGGGTTTTTACCGGTGCTCCTTCTGGAAACAGGTAAGGATTACAGTTAATCTGCTGTCTCTGCAGCACCTGGGAAGGTGGAGATGGAGAAACGCGTCTCTGAGAACACCAAGCTTCCCCTTTGGAATTGTTCTGCTCATCTTGAAATCAGGCATGGAGGTTTCACAGAATTCGGACTCGAAATGTCTAGAAATCCCACTAGCCAACCTGCACAAACACCTTTTACCCATCCTTTAACTGTGAGCAGTTTACACAAGAAGGGTTTAAGACTGGAAAATTTGTCTACTTTTAAATATGCTCTTACAAGTGGTCGAAGCAGCAGATTGTACAGTTTGCCGTTTTTCCCCGTTCTTAATATTGCTTCCCTGTGCTTCCTGTTGGGCCGCGTAGTGACACAGTGATGTGCAGTGCTGCCTTGC